GCTCACTTGGTAGCCCAGGCTGGCCTCGAACTCACAGAGATCCGCCTGGCTCTGCCTCCCGAGTGCTGGGATTAAAGGCGTGCGCCACCAACGCCCGGCCTTTCTTCTATTTTCTAAGCCCCTAAGATATTGATGTTTTCTATAATTTTCATTGGAAATATGCTTCTTGAAGCTATAAGTTGGTGTCTAGCTGACTAATCTGTGCTCTGGTTCAGGGATTTATGCAGCAGGGATGTTTACCAGATGAATGAACGAATGATATAAGAACAAAATCACTGTTCTGTAATATAAATGTATGTTCATGGTCACTCGAATGGAAAATACTCACTTAGAACACATCTCAGGGCCAGCACGGACACTGCCTATATTTATATTCAATTCTGGGTCATATTAGGGGGCCAGAAAATATACTGCTATTTATCTGTCCACCACCGAGTCAAATCTCCATGAGTTGAAGCTATAGTTGCTATAACACCATCACCATTATCTTCCTTTTTTTCTCAACGAACTTTCTCCAATCAGTTTTAAAGGTCTTAGCCTGTTTTGATTACTGATGCATTTTGAAAGCCAGTAACTTTCAGAATTAAAAGATTTCAACATAATACCAGAGAAGGCAGCTCACCAGCTAGCTGTTCCTGCCTCTTCTGTTTAGCCAAATACCCAAGTGACCAGTCCAGGTTCTCTCCTGCTTCCTGCTCTATACCTACACAGGCACCGAGATACAACAACATCATCTTTATGAAGAAGTAGTCGAATCCAGCAATTTACAGGGAAAGAGAAAACTATAGCCCTTCTGGAGAGTAGGAGTTATGCCTGTTATTTTCCCCTTCCTGTTACTTCCAGAAATTAGTCTTCTCAGTAAGAGAGAATAACTCCAGCTAAAGTCAGTTGACTTTTCCTGTGCTTAGCCATAACTTGTAGTTAATTTACTCCAGCACACAGGCTTTTGAGACTCGTTTGTTGTTTTCTTTAGAAGACATTTCACTCAACACCTGCCATACCTATCAACTGAAAACCAATACCTTGAACACAAAACAAAATGCCACTGACTAGAAATACTACTTTGCTGTGTAGAGCATAACACTAAGATGAGTTCATGTCTTCACTAGCAAACATTTCTGCAGTACCCACTGCTGACTTCCTCTTGGTTGTTCTCTTCAGCTACAGGTGGACTTTAGTGGCGCTGGTGCCTCAAGAAACCCTGTGGTTTGCGATCCAGCCTGGCTGCCAAATCCCCACTGTGGCAATAGCAGAGTTTAAATCAGTCAACCCAACTTTGTCAGTGATAGCAGGGCAGGGCGAGCTGACAGATTAATGCGAGGTTTAATCCTAAATTCCCCCCAATATTGATAGAACGCAGCAGTTTCTCTTACGCAGGGTGCAGTTAACAGCCATTTCTCATTCAGGCACCGAGATACAACACCGCCATTAGGCTGGCTCTTTGCAACAGCTGAGTCACTCCTTCCATTTGGTGTCGATTAGGCTAATTAGTGGTTAGCAGATCCGGCTGCCCTTCAATCATTTGGAAATGGCTCTCCGCATATATCGGGCATGCCCCAACTCTAAGGACATCTCACACACTGGCATGAATGTCTTCACTGCTCAGGCAGAAGCTGTTTAGAAAGACAGCATTTGATTGGCCATGTGTCCCAACTACAGATTTTGGTGGCCACCCACTAATGCGATGGCCTCTTGTCGACCACCTGCTGTTGCAGCACAATTTGTTGGCCACTGATACAACTGAATCCCATTATCTTTTCATCTCACCAGCTAGGTGGTCGGGGTATGCTTCCCCCTGAGGGTGCGTGTACCTGTTAAAACACTATTTCTTTTGGCTCTCGTTCTAAACCCAGGCAGAGGGGATTAGGAGACTGGCTTTGAATTGTGCTTGCCTTTTTCTTTTGCAAATGCCAGTCGCTCTGCAGTACCTTTTTGTGATATGAAAATGAACACAGGATTAAAGCATATTTTTGATTCCTCACCAGCCCTTCGAGTCTTTCAGGCACCTTCCTTAAGCCGGTGGGTGTGCTTATCAGGCAGCTCAAGCCTCGGCAGGAGGCAAACGCCGCCGAGCGATTTCAAAGCCAACCTGGCTTCCAACGCTAAAGAAAATCACTGAGGAGGAGTTTATGGACGTCACTCAAAGAATCATTTAACGTTGTCCATTTAGTTATCGGGTGCAAACCTTGAAAGTTTTGACAGATGATCTCCTTCATGATATTTCAATGATCCTAATACATACACATGAAGCTTACATAAATTGTAAAAATACATGGGTTATTCTACAAATAGAGTTACTTTTGAAAAATAGCTCCTCGAAGTATACTATTACTCACACCTCATAATTTCAATTTAAATAATCTTGCTATGTGGCTCAGTAATTTAGGCATTTAAGAAAAGTCATCTTGTTCTAGTGCATTATTTATATTATCAAGTTTTTTATTCTAAGAAATTGGGTCTTCTTACAGTATACATGAGTATACTTTTTCTACTGTTATTTCAAAGACATTTCAAGGAGGCGATATGAAACTCTAGGATTTCTTAATCAAATATTGAAAACTGTATAAGGAAATATCCAAGCAGTGAATCCCATGTCATATTTTATGTTTAAAAAAATCCCCAAAACACATGACTGACATAAAAATATACAAAAAAATTTACTTTACAAGTTAAATATAATCTATATTTTCACTTTATAAATGATACACTTATTTGTAGTCTGTGTAATATATGTAAAATATATTTATATGTCATATGGGTTAAGCCACATACAACAATTTTAAGCATACAATTGCATTTAAATATATAAACAATTAAAAGATAATGATTTTAAAAGCTTGGATCTTTTTATAAAAATAAGACAGTGTTTATAGCCTCAGAGAATTGTGACCAGCAACAAAAGAAAAATCTAATAAATGAAAAGATCCATTTTGATTAATATTAGCTCTGCAGATTAAATAATACAATGATTTGAGTCATTCTACAAATTTATTAATACATTTTAAAGTAATATATATATATATATATATATATATATATATATCCTGACAGACTCTTTGTTTTTAACTATATCATCAGATTTGTTTTGCTTTGACAATTTACATTCTTGAAAATATGCATATATTTATATTCTGTAAACTCAACTCACACAGAGTAGGTTTAACTTAGCTACAACCAGATAGGAATATCTCTGTATATACAACAGGTTATAGATGGGAAACTTTTAAAGTGACTTTTATTTGCCTAATTGTTGACTACCAGCAAGACTCAATCTTAAATCTTTTCCCCTAAATAGAACATGACTCTTTGAAGGAATTTTTCTTAAGTAGAATTACAAAAACAAAAAACAAAAAAATCCCTAGAGAGCTGTAGAGAATATTCGGGACATATTTTTAAAATGTTACACATATAAAGTAAATTAACTTCTAAAAGTTCAGACATGGAAAAGAAAATCAGAACTACTGTCTATTGAACTGATATTTCCAACATCAAAGCCTCAACGTTTTTCCTCGACAAGATTCCCTTCATAAGCAAGGCATGTCCTTAAACTGCAACTCCCAAGCAGAAACAGATTCATTTCCTTTCTCTACTTGAAAGTTGACTCTTCTGCATAACTCTTTTTCATTGCTTGTTAGGTCAGTCTCACACAAATAACATCGCTGCTTGCCATCACAGACATCCTTTGGAAATTTGCATTCTTTATTATACATAACATCCAAATAATTCTCAGAAGAGAGAAATCAATGAAATAGCATCAGAGAATAAGAAAGTAAAGTAGTAAAGTTAAAATTTACAAATGATACAGGAAATATCAGTCCCCAAAAGGATGATGCTAAGAAAGTGTCTACAGAGTAGGAACTTGGATTTCATTGGTTATTTTACAATTTTTGCCATAGTTTTTTTTTAACCCATTCAGTTCTTACATGCATATTAGAAAGGATAATCTTATTGTCCAATATGGTAGCCACTGGCCATGAGTGGTTACTCATTTCAGAAGTAGCTGGTCCATGTGGAGGCCTGCTTTAAATATAAGATATACACTGGATTTCAAAGATTTAGTACAATATATAGATATAATATATCCTTAACAACTTCTTAATATTAATTAGATTAAAGTAATGTTTTGTACATATGCTCTTAATATATATTAGTAAAATATACTTCATGCTCTTGATGACCTTGCAGAAATGAAGTATTTATAAATTGTCAATGATTTTAGCTTTTAACTATTCCAAGACACAAACTCAAGTTCTTTTAATAACTAAAAAATATAAGTCAATTAAAAATATGCTTAATCTATTTCTTTTTTTAGAAATTGTTAAGGTTATATTTCCTGAATTACACTTTCATGGAAATGCGACTGTCAACTATTTGCACAGTGTTAGGTAGCTAATCACTTCAATCATAGTGGTGATTTGGTTTATTCTAACAGAAGTGCCTAAGAGGCAAGCTAACAGACAAAGGGGGTTTGCCTGTTTTCAACAACATGATTGAAAAAATAAACCAAAACCATGAAGCAAAAAGATTCAAATGCAAAGTAAATCTTCACTAGCTAAAAACACAAAACATGGGAAAGTATACAAAAACAAATGAACTGAGCAATTTTCCACTGGTTGAGACATTCCAGTACACAAACTATTTGTGACAAATGATGTAGCTCAATATTGTGTCCAAGTCAATCGCATATCTTCTATGAGGCAATATTTTGCATTCCTGTTGTCCATCCACATATATTAGTCAGGAATGATTCTAAGCCAATGGTAGACTAGTAAATTAAAAGGCATAGAGCAACACTGTACACAAGACTTGCACATAAAAACCTGGAGTTTCAGCTGCTGAGTATTTTTTAAATAATGCATTGATTCCATCAGTAATCAGCATGTTTCTTCTGTTGACAAGTATATTTGAGCATAATCATCTGGAATAAATAACTAAACCTAAAATGTTTATCAACCAGCTGTTAAGTGCTATGAAGTCACAATAGACAGAGTGAATGCATCCAGTGAATTGATTGAAACCAACTTAGCGTTGAAGAACCTGGGAAAGAAATGTCAAACGGATGCTGAAAATCTCAAAAGCTATGCTGGGAAGAAGCAAAATAACACTGACGCTCCTGTGCTTCTAGTTAGCAGCAAACCTCCCTCCTGCAAACAGGGCTTCCAGTAGATCTGTCACTTACTGAAGTTCTGTTCACATGGAATTCGATGAAATCCCCAGCAGACCACAAGATGGGTAAACCTGTTCTAACTGCTCCTACGATATCATGGAGCAGAGCTTGAATTACCAATCCACCAGAGAATGCTAATGCAATTATGAGTGTTGACTTACACCATGTGTTTCTCCCAGAGCCTCCCCCGCTGTGTCGGGAGAAAGCAAAGGTAGCTAATGTTTTATAGATGGTAAGGCTCTGTTTGTTTTCTGTGGGGCTAAGTCTCCCAAAGCACTCAGACACACTAATTAAAGTAAACTGCAGAGGCCCATAATAAAATATCTGTGTTTGGAGACTGGGAGATGAACCCTACTGGCTTATTAAAAGTCAAAAGAAAAATATACATTATTTATGACTTCAAAGGGACACATTCTGCGCTCCAGTTTATTTAAAGGATTAACTAAGCAGTGGTTATTGGTGACCATCTGAACAGTTCTTCTTTCACGGTTCATTAGTTCTGTCATATATGTGAGAAGTCATCATTTGGGTTTAGATCAAATATTATTAATCAAATAAATTACAGCGGCTACACCAACATTACTAAACAGAATCTTTGTGAAAATAACTGCTAATAAATCTGTATTACTTCAAAACAGTTGCCTGGTTGCAACAAGGTAATGTGGGCTTCCAAAATACTTATAGGCAGTAAATAACAGATTATTCATAACTTTGGCCACTCTGGAAACAGGAAATGGGGCAAATAACACAAAACAAATTGCCTTATTGCCACCTATTTCTAAAAGATAGCTCCTTCACAGAAACCAGGACACTTCACAGAGCCCGTTTTCCTGTTTTCAAGACAAGACAAGAAAGAGTAACCGTATGTGAGAAAGCTTTTTTACATCTAAAATGTTTCTTTCATTTATTAATTGTTTTAAATTAAGGCACATGATTCATTCAAGAACATTATTGGCGTTTGGCATAAAGAATCCTGAACTGAGGGTAACTGAGACCAATGAACACTGCTTCACTGTTTCCTCAGCACTTGGATATTTGCAAAGTTATTCATAATTACCATTTCTGTGAATGAAAGTATTGTATTACTTAACGAAATATTAGCATGCATTCAGAGACTTAGTAGAATTCTTCTTAATTTACAAATATTGCTTGGTATGTTACTGAGACTCACTGCTTTTTTAATTTTGTTAGGTCATCTTGAAATTTACCTGGATTTGTACTTTGTCCCCTCAAATAAGAAACTGGACCTAAGATACTGGTTCTACGCTGTCTGAGAAGCAGACATCTAGAAGTTTCGTCGAGGTGGAAGGCACCAGACTGTAGCTCTGCGTGGCGCTGCCTCCAGATTGCTCCTCTTTCTTCTCTTCTCTCTCCCTCTGCTCTTCTCTGCAGTTTTGTGTCTCTGGTTGGCATTTGTTCACATGGGAAGTTTTCCCACAGTCGTTTACCATCACAATCAAAGGAAGCACACACAAAACCCTGGAAGCTCACGCGGCTTTTTGAAGATTACAGGTTATTTTATTCTTGCAAGTGAATAAAAATTACTGAGTCAAGCACTAATGATAGTCAACTTTTTCTTAATATGTCAATTTAATGTTTCCATATTATGGCTTCATTACAGAAAAAAAACTTAAACTAAAACCAAAACAATATTTATTCAGAATTCATTTCATTTTTATGATTTGTGTAGCTTTACCTCAACAAGATTGAGATGATGAATGTTCATATTACATTAACCTACTGACTATAAAGTTATAATTTCAAGATTTCACAAAGTATCGGCTGTAGAAAGTTTATATTTTCCCTCTTGATTATAAGATGTTTGCCTAAGTGCATATTACAAATAAAATATCCAAGTGTGTGGGGCTGAGAGCTAGTCTTCTCTTTCGTTTTCTTCTTTGTACGGCTCCTTCTTTTGTTTGGTCTG